CAGCTTCTCCCTCTCCCACTCCCCCTACTTGTGCTCGCTCTCTGTCAAATAAATAAATAAAATATTTTTAAAAATAATTCTTAAAAAAATAAAGAATGGGGAAGGGGACTTCACATACTATAAATACTAAAGATGCTATTCTTTTTTTTTAAGATTTTATTTATTTATTTGACAGACAGAGATGACAAGCAGGCAGAGAGAGAGGGGAGAAGCAGGCTCCCTGGAGCAGAGAGCCCGATGCGGGGCTCGATCCCAGGACCCTGGGATCATGACCTGAGCCGAAGGCAGAGGCTTTAACCCACTGAGCCACCCAGGCGCCCCTAAAGATGCTATTCTTGACTCAAAATGTGGTTTTGTATAAATTTACCACATGACCCAGCAATTTCCAGCACTCCAGTATATACCCAAGAAAACTGAAAACATGTCCATACAAAACCTTGTACACAGGGGCACCTGGGTGGCTCAGCTGGTTAAGCAACTGCTTTTGGCTCAGGTCATGAACCCAGGGTCTTGGAATCAAGCCCCACGTCAGGGTCCCTGTGGGGAGTCTGCTCCTCCCTCTCCCTCTGCCTGCCCCTCCCCCTGCTTGTGTGTTCTCTGTCAGATAAATAAAACCTTAAAAAAAAAACCTTGTACACAAAAGTTTGTAACAGCACTATTCATAATAGCTAAAAGGCAGAAACAATCCATATTCCCCTCAATTATAAGTAGATAAAATAAAGTATATCCATACAGAGGAATATTATTCAGCAATCAAAAGAAATGAAGTAGGGGCGCCTGCCTTGCTCAGTTGGTGGAGCACGTGACTCGATCTCGGTGTTGTGAGTTCAAGCCCCACATTGGGCGTAGAGATTATAAGTAAATTTTAAACACCCCCCCCCAAATTATTAGTAAAGAAAGCACTGTTTTAGGCAAGGTCACCCTCTAAAGGGGAACAGAGGGGTCTATGAGTAAATTTCCTAGTGCTGACCAGGAAAATGCATGTTGAATGGCTATTCCTGGCGGAACTGAAACACTTGTTAATTAGGTATTAAGTCCTGGTTTTACTGATCTCAGGCTCCTAACCTTAGTGAATCCATTTTGGGCCTGTGGTTTTTCTTTCTGATACTATGTGCTATAGAGGATAAAAGATACATACAACTTTTATACATATAACTTGATTTCAACAGTATGTACTCTAGAAAATAAAAGATACATAGGACTATGGGAATTTAAAGAACACTTTAGATTGCTTTCAAATGACCAAGGTTCTTTGAGGAACAGAGCAATTCTCTTACTTAAAGATATAGTCAGGGATGCCTGGGTGGCTCAGTTCGTTAAGCGGCTGCCTTCGGCTCAGGTCATGATCCCAGGGTCTTGGGATCGAGTCCCACATCCGGCTACTGGCTCAGCAGAGAGCCTGCTTCTCCCTCTCCCTCTGCCTGCTGCTCTCCCTGCTTGTACTCTCTCTCTCTGTCAAATGAATAAAAAACTTAAAAAAAAAAAAAGATATAGTTAAACTAGGATGCACTGAGGGGAAAAATGGGAGAGGCAATAAATATAATTAGGGAGGTGGGGTGGAGGAGAAAGCCTTTCTTGATCTTCTCTGCAAGATAAAAGTAAGTTTGGTCAAAAAAAGATCCCCCGCCAAAAGAAAGTACCAATATGTGCTGCAAAATAGATAAACCTTGAAGACATTATGCTAAACAGAGAAAGTGAGTTCCAAATGACCACATATTGGGGGATCCTGACTGGCTCAGTTGGTAGAGCTTGCAACTCTTGATCTCAGGGTTGTGAGTTCAAGTCCCACATTGGGTGCAGATCTTACTTGATTAAAAAAACAAAGACCACATGTTATTTGATTCCATGTACATGAAATGTTCAGAAAAAAGAAAGTAGATAACTAGTTGCCTAGGGTTGGGGCCGGGAACAGGGATTCACTGCATGAGGGATCTCTTTGAGGTGACAGAAATGTTCTAAAACTGGATTTTAGCTGACGTGCCTGGCTGGCTCAGTCAGTAGAGCATGCGACTCTTGATCTCAGGGTTGTAAGTTTTAGCCCCACCTTTGGTGCAGAGATTACTTAAAAATAAAATCTTAAGGCACCTGGGTGGCTCAGTTGGTTAAGTGTCTGCCTTTAGCTCAGGCAGTGATCCCAGCATCCTGGGATCAAGTCCCACATCGGGCTCCCTGCTTGAAGGGGAGCCTGCTTCTCCCTTTCCCCACCTTGTGCTCTCTCTCAAATAAATAAATAAAATCTATAAATAAAAAATAAAATAAAATCTTAAAAAAATAAAACTGGATTTTGGTGACAGCTGTGTAAATAAATTTACCAAAAATCATTAGACTGTACACCTGAAATGCGTGAACTTTTTGGTATGTAAATTGTATTTCAATAAAGCTGTTTGCAAAGCAACACAAAACAACATGGTTTTGCTCTTCCTTACTAGTCACTTAATAGTGCACCAGCGCTATATACAATTAAGAGTATCAGTTCATTTTTATAACAAACAGAAGAAAGATATTTTCCTGAAATAACTGGAAGAGGCAAAGGACATTAAATGTTATATCCTATATTTACAACCCTAGTCCCTACTACTATAATACCTATAACACAATAGGAGTGTGATAATTGTTTACCGAATGGAGTGTACTAAGTGAGAAAAATCGCCAACAGGGAACTAACTGGTCTGTCATTAGTGAAAACCATCAGGAACAAGAGAATCGATGTTAGCAGGGAAGACAGTTCCCTGCCCTGATTGTCTAAGGTAGAAAAATAAGTACAGTTACACATAGGTGTGATGTGGAATACAATTATAGTTATTTCATCCTTTGCAAGTTGAAAGGGATTTAGAAACCACTCAACAAAGGAGGAGGGTTGAGGAATTGCTTTGATTTTTAGAAAGCAACAGACCCAGTGAAATCAGAAAAGTTTATTGCCATTCATTATGAACAATTTAAAAGTGATATTAGCATGTTAGTCGTCATACAAATTCTTTTTAAGTATAAAAATCAAGATGTCAGTGTATGTAGGACCATCAAGTCAGTCCAATACAAAACTATACTCTCAGACTTATGGATCATACCTCCCTTCATTAAAGGATGCGAGTTTCACCAAACCAAGCCCAGGCTTACATTTGAGATCTTCCCAGACAAAGCGGGAGTAGGAGGCACTATTAAATTAAAAGTCAGTTAAAAAGATTTCAGTAGCTATGGAAAGTTCCCAGAGACATAAGTGACAGCTGTGTTTCTAGCCCCTTTCAACCATGAAGTCCGTAAGGACCTCAGGCAGCATCAGTCCAAACATCCTGAGACTGGAACACACTCAAGCAATAGGTGCTTCATCTGGCCGCCCATGAGAAAACTCAGGGACTACACACAGCAGTTGGCACACCTGCCAACAGGCCAGTTGACTCTTAGAGTCCCCACACTATGATAATAGAGCCCCACTTTCCAAAGTGCTATTGGGCCTTAGTTAAGGAGAGCCACCCTCACCCTCTTCCAGTTAACACCCTGTTCATACAGAGCTCCTACAGCCCCCGCAACAGGAGGCCCTAGGTCACACACCAGAAACAGATACAGTATGTTGAAACTGAGAAGACATCTACCAGACAATGCTATCCACCCTGGATCCTCCACAGCCTTAGATGATGGTGTAGAAATACACACCAATGAATTACTGTATGAAGAGGAGAGTGCAGTGATACAGGAAAAGCAAAACAGAACACTTTAGCCCATGGTGAGGGAAAGGAAAACCAGAAGAAAAGGAGGAGGAACAGTGAGCTTATGTAACCTTTTACTTTCTAACAATACTTGGTATCTGCCTGACCTCCAGCTTTCCAATCCTCCAAGAATAGGGGTGCCAGATTTAGCAAATAGAAATACAGGATGTCCCATTAAATTTGAATTTCAGATAAAGAGCAAATAATTTTTTAATCTATTCCCAAATACTGTATGGTACATACTTACACTAAAAATTTATTTGTAAAAAACAAACAAACAAACAAAAACTACTCTCTTTTACCTGGCAACCCTGTCCAGGAGGCTCAGTTAACCTGAGCTCTAATGTGATCATATATTGTCAAAGAGCAACAGTGAGACCACCCCAGAGCAAAGCACAGACACTTCATTCGCCACAGAAGTAGCTAGGTGATTCTTTTAACTCCATTTCCCAAACTCTCAAAGATTCACTGCTTATTTTGACAGGGTAGGAGGATATGTGCCCAGTGGAGTCGTTAACCACTATCTGCCAGGTGGAGAAGGAAGTTTTCCTTCCATATCAAAGGAGGAAGGTAAAAAATACAACTAGAAAGAATAAGGAGAAACAGGCTTAGTAGGGTAAAGAATGTGACTCCTACCACCGCAGGGCAGGCTGAGCAACTCCGGCAAAATCCCTACCAATGTTGACAGCCCCAGGGTCTGGAAATCCAATATACTCCAACTTTCTTTGAGCAACTAAAAGACCTCAAAAGGCAACCAGGACTGAAAACACACACAAACATACACACACGCGTACAGAGGAGGGAGGAATAGGAAGAGAGCAAGGCAGGACACTGAGAAGAATCACACAACTCCTTGATAACGACTGGCAGAATATTTTGGTTGGTTGGTTGGTTGATGGGGTTAACCTTCAGTGGTCTTTCCCTAAAGCAGAAGCTGACAGAAAAAAGGCACCTCACAGAGGCCTCAGGGACACAGCTTTATGGGGGATTAATTCCACATCACAAGGCCCATAGTGCTATCATAATCTAACAACAGATCTGACCATCAGACCCCACATCCAATGCGCTAGCATGACTAAGTGCCAAACCCAACACCTAAGGGCGGAAGAGAAGCCAGTAACAAGTCCATGGCTGATAAACATTCCTCTCAAAGGCATAAAGAGGGAAACAACAAAAAGAACAGGACCGCATTATACTTTTTTTTCACAGCCTCTTTGGGAATTTCTAGTTCCTCTTAATCCAACATCTCTGAAACTGTGTTTCCAGAGAGGTTAACAGGTGTTGCGTGGAAGCAAAAAAAAAAAAAAAAAAAAATCAGTGAAATAAATTTGAGAAATGTTGCCCACTTACTAAAAGTTATAAATCCCTCCAGTAGAGGAACCTGTTCAGCTTTATTTAAATCACTGGTTACCAAAAGGGGGGAGGCTGGAGTAAATAGGTGATGGGGATTAAAGGACACTTGTGATGAGCACCACGTGTTGTACGGAAGTGCTGAATCACTAAATTGTACACCTGAAACTAATATCACAGTTTGTTAACTAACTGGAATTTAAATAAACACTTAAAAAAACCCCACTGGTTCCTGACTTACTTGACCATAGAACCTTGTTAAGGAACATCCATTAGTATCTTCCAGAACTTCAAGAAATGCTGCTTAACCATTTTTGCAAACATGTCCCATCTCCAGAATGGGAAGAACACATGTCAACACTGGGAACACCCAGGTGTCACACATAAAATGATTTTCCAAAATTACTATATCAGAAAGTTTAAGGCAATGCTTTCGAAACTGTAGAAACTTGTCCTTCTGTGAGGCACTTGCTCAATGGTAAATACAGCTAGGAAAGCTAGTTCAGAGGTAAAAGTCAGTCTCTCTCTCTCTCTCTCCCCCCCTTTCCCCCCAAACTTCCTCCAAAAGGTTCAGACCAAATTTCACAGCAACCATGTACAAACGAGGCTGTCTTTGTTCCTCCAAAAGCCCAATAACCTGGAGTCTAGGGTTTCTAGGAAAAGAGACAAATGGCTCATGCTGGCATTGTTCAATGCTATCAAAGGAATCCCTCTTATTCCCCCTTCGGTGCAGTCCCCAAGTAGCACCCCAAAAGCTATAAAAGGACACACTTCTTGGTGTTCTTCTTTGTGGCAGGGTAAAGCACAGCCCGGACAGCTTCTGAAAATACCTCGTGCACCCCATACTGCATCAGGGCTGAACATTCTAGATACTTCACAGCCCCCACCTGCTTAGCCAGGGAAGTGCCTTGCTGAGGAGTTGTGGGCACTAGGCTCTGTTCCTTCAGCTTCTTCACTGTCTCAATGTCATCCCGCAGGTCTCTCTTGGTACCTACCAGCAGAACAGGCACATTGGGGCAATGATGGGAGACCTCAGGGTGCCACTTATGCCTCACATTGGCATACGAGGATGGGTTGCCAATGGAAAAACAAATGACAAAGATATTGGTCTGGGGGTAGGACAGTGTTCGCAGTCGGTCATACTCCTCTTGGCCAGCTGTGTCCCACAGGTTCAGGCTGACGATCTGGCCATCCACAGACGTCTGGGCACTATAGTTATCAAAGACGGTGGGGATATACTCCTCAGGAAAGGCATTCGTTGTGTAACTGATGAGGAGGCAGGTCTTACCTACAGCCCCATCTCCTACAACCACACATTTGATTGTCTGCATTCTTTCTTTGGAGTCCTAAGTGCAATAGAGAAAGAAAGAACATTCACAGATGCTTGGTTCATTTGGGGAGCCTAAGCTTTATCAACATTTCTCTCTGAGGAGAAAGAGAGGAGGCAAGACCCCCCACCCACTGACCATCCCCTTAACACCACAGAAGAGTCAGCTGAGAAAGAGTACATAGGACAAGAGTTCTTACCATGGAGTCCATGGACTGCTAGAGGATAAACTTCAGTAGGTCCTAGAAGCCGCCTCTGAAGTATGTGATATTATGTGTAGGTACATAAGTGAATTTTTCTGGAAAGAAGATCCAAAACTGTCATCAGATTGTTAAAAAGGCTGTGAGCCCAAAAAGATTAAAAACCATTCATATACATAGGTATTTCTGTTTTATTTTTGTCAGGTCTGGCTATACTCTATCAAAGGTGCTAAAACATAGTGGGTGCTCAGTAAATGGAAACTAATTTTTAAAATAGCACTGATGTTGGTACACCCAGGTGGCACAATCGGTTAGGCATCTGACTCTTGGTTTCAGCTCAGGCTGTGATCTCAGGGTCATGGTATGGAGCCCTGCATTGGGCTCCGTGCTCAGCACAGACTCTGCTTGAAATTCCCTCTCCCTCTGCCCCTCCCGCTCATGCGTGCACATGTTCTCTCTCTCTCTCTCTCTCTCTCCCTCTCAAATAAATAAATATGTCTTTTAAAAAACACACTGATGTAGGGGCACCTGGGTGGCTCAGGGGGTTGAGCCTCTGCCTTTGGCTTGGGTCGTGGTCCCAGGGTCCTGGGATCGAGTCCCACATCGGGCTCGGGCTCTCTGCTTGGCAGGGAGCCTGCTTCCTCCTCTCTCTCTTGTCGCCTCTCTGCCTACTTGTGATTTCTGTTCAATAAAAAAAATATATAATCTTAAAAAAAAAAAAACACACACTGATGTAGAAAGGAGGGTCTAAAGGTTGAAACAAAAGAAATATGGCTCTGACTTTGGGTCTGTGGCTATAGACCCAGCAAAGCAATCCCTGTTCCTGACAGTGATGTCCTAAAATTGGAGAAAGGTAGGCCCGTCAGACTTAGCCTCCCAGAGTAAAGAGTCCAGGCTCTGATGTCAAGCCACCTGGAGTCCAAAACCAGTCCTTTCTTTTTCTAAACTTTGTCGACTTCAGCAAGCGCTTCACCCATGGCTTATGGGAAAGAATGTTTGTGTAGTACTTATTAGTGCCTGTCACACAGAAAGTACTCATTAAGCATTCGAAACTACTATGACTTCGTAATAATTCTTGTAATTATTGTAATACTGTTCTGGGGAAGGCAAAAGTTCTGTGATGTGATTACAGTGCTAGACAAACCACAGATCTCATCCCTTCCTACCTTATCTGAGCAAAACCATTAGTCATACCACCACCATACTTTCTCTTTTACTTCTTCAGGAATCAAGCATTTGAGAGTTAACGGTAAGGCATAGATGACCTCCAAGAAGCGTGTTTACTATGAGCTCCCACATTTACACCCCATTTTAAAACCCTATCACCGCCCTACCCTGTCAGTGCCCCCAGAGCACTCCATTTCCTTTAGCTTAACTATTGCACTAATTTCAGACCTGATCCTGATAGCATTAACTTCACGTGTCGGAACATGGAAGAAAGGGGATAAACTGTCATAAGTATTTGATTATAGAAAAAAAAAAACTGAGGGCGCCTGGATGGCTCAGTTAAGCGACTGCCTTTGGCTCAGGTCATGATCCTAGAGTCCCAGGATCCAGTCCCACATTGGGCTCCCAGCTCAGCAGGGAGTCTGCTTCCCCCTTTGACCCTCCCCCCTCTTGTGCTCTCGCTCTCTCTCTCCCCCCCCGACTCTCAAATAAATAAAATCTTTTTTAAAAATTGAGAATCGGGGCGCCTGGGTGGCTCAGTGGGTTAAGCCTCTGCCTTCAGCTCAGGTCATGATCTCAGGGTCCTGGGGTCGAGCCCCACATCAGGCTCTCTGCTGAACGGGGAGTCTGCTTCCCTCTCTCTCTCTGCCTGCCTCTCTGCCTACTTGTGATCTCTCTTTCTCTCTGTCAAATAAATAAATAAAATCTTAAAAAAAAAAAAATTGAGAATCAATTAGTTTCTCACCTTAGGAATTTGGGGGAATAGATACATCCCTCATCCTGTTGTCTTTTTCTTTCTTTATTTATTGGAGAGAAAGGGAGAGAGAGAGAGCATGTGCGCGCGCAAGAAAGAGCACTAGCAGTATGAAGGGCAGAGGGAGAAGCAGGCTCCCTGTGGGAAGCCCGATGTGGAACTCCATCTTGAGATTCCAGGATCACAACCTGAGCCAAAAGCAGACGCTTAACTGACTGAGCCAGCCAGGCGCCCCTCTATTGTCATATCAGCTAAGGTCTAGATTAGGCCCATATCACAGACAAAACAAAACATCTTATTTTCAGTCAGAGTAAAGAGAAGTTGGCCTTCAGGGCACCTGGGTGGCTCAGTGGGTTAAGAGTCTGCCTTTGGTTCAGGTCATGATCTTGGGGTCCTGGGATCAAGTCCTGCATCAGGCTCCCTGCTCAGCGGGGAGCCTGCTTCTCCCTCTCCCTCTGACTCTCCCCTCTGCTTATGCTGTCTCTTTCTCTCTCACTCTAAGAAATAAATTAAGTTAAATCTTAAAAAAAAAAAAAAAACAAAAAAGGAAAGAGAAAAGTTGGCCTTCTGAGTATGCTTCACACAGGCCCACTAGAGGTAGCTCTCTTCCCACACAGCCAATTCTGACTCACAAGGCATTCCACCTAAAGCCTTCATTAGCACAGGTCCCACAGCTAAAAGTCCGGAGTATAATTCATCTTTAGTATTCACTGACCATCAGCCCTATCTTTTTCCACCTAGGAAGAGGCATAAGGATCAAACATACAAGGTTAATGGGAAAAGGGTAAAGTCACCAGCACATTCTTTGAGAATAGCCTTCCTTGATTTTCCCAGTCTAGATTAACTTCTTTCTCCTCTGAATTCCTGTAGCAATTCCTATATGAACAATTCACCTTCCCAGCCTGCTATCCTTTATCATCCAGTAGCCAACATCTCTGTTCAAAGTGACTGCTTTCAGGACAACTGTGCATCTGAGGGGGTTCCCGAACCAGACCAAACTCTTAGACCCAAAGACCACTTCGCACCCCAAATTCTCAGCTCCTCATCTCGATAACTAGGAAAAGGCATCTACACTCGTTTCTGCTTGTTTATATCTACTAACCCTTCTGGTATATATGGTCTGCAGATGGGCACTCAAGCCACACTGATTATGGCTGAGGGACTAGATGATGAAGGGCAGCTAGAACATCCCAGGTCTGAAACAAAACCCAGGACATCCTCACCCATAGCAAACTCTCTATCAAAGTTTGGGGGGCTACTTTGTACAAGCACCTGACTCATTTACTCAGCCCACATGTCCCACATGTTCAGCATATGTTATTTACTTATGTGTATGTTTGGAATTATCCACAGTTAAAAAGTTTAAATATACTAAAAATATATCTAAAAGAATTAAAAACAGGATCTCAAAGCGATATTTGTACACCAATGTTCATTGCAACACAATGCACAAGAGCCAGGAGGTGGAAGCAACCTAAAGACCATCAACAGATGAACACATAAGAAAAAAAAATATATATATATATATGTTGTATATTATTCAACCTTAAAAAGAAGGAAATCTTGGAGCACCTGGCTGGCTCAATCGGTAGAGCATGCGACTCTTGATCTCAGGGTCATGAGTTTAAGCCCCACACTGGGCATGGTGCCTACTTAAAAAAAAGAGAGAGAGAGAGAAGGAACTCTTCATACACTACAACATGGATGAAACTTGAGGACATACGCTAAGTGAAAACACACAGACAGCCATATACTGCATGATTCCACTTACATAAGGTATCTACAGTAGTCAAACACATAAAAACAGAAAGTAGAATGGTAGTTGCCAGGGCTGGGGGAGGGGAAATGGGGAGGGTTTTTTAAAAAAATTTTTTAGAGAGAAAGAAAGAATAGGAGGAAGGGCAGAGAGAAAGAATCTTCAAGCAGAGTCCCTGCTGAGCATGGAGCCTGATGCAGGGCTCTATCCCACGACCCATGAGATCATGACTTGAGCCAAAATCAAGAGTCAGACACTTAACCAACTGAGCCACTCAGGCACCCTAATGGAGAATTGTTTACCGGTGACAAAGTTTCAGTTTTGCAGGGTGCCTGGGTGACTCAGTATGTTAAGCATCTGACTCTTGATTTCTGCTCAGGTCATGATCTCAGGGTCCTGGGATTGAGGCTCATATTGAGGGGGGTGGGTCCATGGTCAATGGGGCATCTGCTTGTCCCTCTGGCCCTCCCCCACTCATGCTCACAGGCTTACATACTCTCTCAAATAAATAAAATCTTTAAAATGAAAGTTTTAGGGGCGCCTGGGTGGCTCAGTGGGTTAAAGCCTCTGCCTTCGGCTCAGGTCATGATCCCAGGGTCCTGGGATCGAGCCCCACATCGGGCTCTCTGCTCAGCAGGGAGCCTGCTTCCCCTCCTCTCTCTCTGCCTGCCTCTCTGCCTACTTGTGATCTCTGTCAATTAAATAAATAAAATCTTTAAAAAAATAAATAAATAAATAAATAAATAAAATGAAAGTTTTAGTTTGCCAAGATGAAAAATTCTAGAGATCTACTGCATAGCAATACATATATAGTTAACACTACTGTAATGAATATTTTAAAATGGTTTAAAATACTAAAAATAAAAGTATTTTTAAAGGGTTTGGAGCTCTGAGAGAAGGTAGGGGTCATAAAAGAAAGGCAAATGAGAAAAGCTTGTTTACCTCAGCCTCGGGATCTAGCACAATGGAGTCCTGTCACGGATCACCTACAGCTTTGCCCTCCTCATCACCACCACTATCTACATTTTCCCGAGTACTCCTATGGGCAACGAACTGCTAGAAAGGACTCAAAAAAGCGTAAAGAGAAAGACTGCTAGAAGCTTACAATCTTGTGGGAAAGGCAGGACTTATACGAAAAGGCAAACAATAATACAAAATGATGTATGGCTCACAGGGGAAAAAAGTTGCTGTAGGGAAGCAAAGGGAAACTTAAAAATGAGAGATTATAGGCATTGTGCCAAATACCTTTACATATCTTATTTAAGCTTCACAGTAGCTCCGGGAAGCAGACATCAGAGCAAGTCAGAGATCTTTAGGTATGCCTTTAAGTTTGGAAACTGGGAGAGGGCTGGTGCTGCAGAAACCAGCACCCTCAGAAAGTTCCCTTCCCAACCATTCACAGTAAACTGGAATTAGTTTCTTCTAAGTCTTCCCATCTCTTCTGACAAAGTATCCTTCTTCACATGTACAGTCTGCGTAGGAGTCAATTTTTTCCTAGGTTAGTGTAAAAGACCCAGTAACAGTCAAGACAAGAATGCAGCTCAAAGGATTACTGTTTCTAGCACATTCTCCTCCAGGTCTCACCCTCTTGGTAAGTCTGAGTCTAATGCACTTGAAATCACGCTGTAACTCTCTGGAACCAAGACAATTCAGCAGAAGACCCCCCAATCTGTATCTATTACTCTCACACAACTTAGTTCCTCTACTAAACACCGGCCGCTTTCTCACACCGGAGACTGCCTTCTTTGGTTCAGGTCCAGCCAAAGGCTTTGGGACTCTTGAAGCCGAAGGAAGCCATGTGAACACTCCCCAAATCCGAGCCAGGGGAAGACTAGCCCGCGACTGGAAACTTAACCAGAGACGCAGGGGTAGTGACCCAGCAATAGCTCCACAAGCCCGCTCGGCACTTCCTTCGCATCCTTCACCACCAGGCCTACTTGGTTCCAGCACTTCCTAGGAACTCCTGAGCCTGGGACAGAGCGCTGCCCCACCTGGGATTCGCAAGTAGCAAGAGCGGGAGCGGGCTCAGTCTCCTGCATAAGCATACACCTCATCCCACCGTCCAATGCCTTCCATCTCGGGAATGGCTCACAGACTCACGCAAGCCTCCGGGGCTGGGGAGACTCACGAAAAGTGTGGGGGATAAAGGGGGGGGGGCGGGGGGGGAGCGCTGGGGGCGGGGGGGTCTCCATAAAGATTACCTGGCAAAGCAAAAGCGGTCGTCTTCCACCGCTGTTGACTACAGCGGGCAGAGCCTCCCAGCGCGACTGTGGCGGGGGTGGGCAGGCGCGGCGAGCTCGGCGCCACATCCGGGCAGCTACCGAGTCCCACCCCCGTCGTCAGGCGCAGCCTCCGCTGGGTGCCCCGACGCCTCCTGGGAAGTGGAGTCTTAGCGCCAGCCCCACTGTCTCCGACTTACAGGCTTCTAGACCGACTACCCCTTGGAGTAACGAGGAGTACTTGGATCCGGCCCCCAGGTGCGGACCCCCAAGACGGTTACCCGGTGCAGAGTTCCCCAAGGCTCCTCTTTCCCTTGCCAAAGTGAGGCCGCCCCTTCCTCCCCAGACCCCGGTTTCCTCCTCAAGACCAGCCCTGACGTAAGGAGGCAGGCAGGAAACTGAAGTATTAGGAAAAAATGGAGGCGATAAAAGAAAATGAAGGAGTGAGCGAGTTAGGGTTACTTTCAGTCACCATATTAATTTGCATTTTCTGGAGTTTTCTGTAAGTGGGATCATACAGTATGCACTCCTTTTTTAGCGGCTTTATGGAGATATAAATTCATATACCGCACAATTCACTCATTGAAATTGTACTGTTCAGGGGTCCCTGTCTAGCTGTCAGTAGAGCATGTGACTCCTGATCTCGGGGTTGTAATTTCCACCCCTGCCTTGGGTGTCGAGATTGCTTAAAAATAGAAAATTTAAAATGTTTGTACGGTTCGGGCGCCTGGGTGGCTCAGGGGGTTAAGCCTCCGCCTTGGGCTCAGGTCCTGGGATCGAGTGCCACATCCGGCTCTCTGCTCGGCGGGGAGCCTGCTTCCTCCACTCTCTCTGCCTGCCTCTCTGCCTACTTGTGATCTCTCTCTGTCAAGTAAATAAGTAGAATCTTTAAAAAAACATTTTTTGTACAGTTCAATGTGTTTTTTGTGTTACCTTATTAATTTCTTTAAATTGTGGTAACTGCATAACAAAATTTGCCCTTTTACCCATTTTCAAGTGTAAAATTCAGGGGCATTAAGTACATTCACAGTGTTGTGCAAAGCATCACCATTGATATTTCCAAAACTTTTTTCATCATCTCCAGCAGAAAACTCTGTACCCATTAAGCAAGAACTCCTCATTTCCCCCTGCCTCCAGCCCCTGGAAACCAACTTTCTGTCTCCATGAATTTGACTTTTCTTGCTACCATTCATTTATTGATGGACATTTTGGGTTTTTTTTTTCCAACTTTTGACTATTGTGAATAATGGTGCTATGAATACTGGCTTACAAGAATCTGGTTTTCTTTGTTATTTTCTAGTTCACTGATTTCCACTTTGATCTTCATTATTTTTGTTCCTTTGAATTTTATTTGCTCTTCTTTTTACTGAAGTGAAAGCTGAAGTCATTGTTTTGAGACATTTCTTCTGTTCTTTTTTTTTTAAGATTTTATTTATTTATTTATTTCACAGACAGAGATTACAAGTAGGCAGAGAGGCAGGCAGAGAGAGGAGGAAGCAGGCTCCCCGCTGAGCAGACAGCCCCATGCGGGGCTCGATCCCATGACCCTGGGATCATGACCTGAGCTGAAGGCAGAGGCTTTAACCCGCTAAGCCACCCAGGCGACCCCATTTCTTCTGTTCTAATATAGGTTTTTAGTGTATAAAAACTGCTTGCTAAGGGGCACCTACCTAGGTGGCTCAGTGGATTAAGCTCTTGATTTTGGCTTAGGTCATGATCTCAGGGTCACGAGTTCAAGCCCCGCATCAAGCTCTGCGCTGAGGGTAGAGGAGCCTGCTTAAGATTCTCTCACTCTCTCTCTGCCCCTCTCTCCAGCCCTCACCTGCTCTCTCTCTCTCTCAAAATAAATAAATAAAATATATTTTTAAAAATTACCCCCTAAATACTTCTTTAGCAGAATGCCATAAATTATTGTGTGGTTTCATCTTTATTCAGTTCAAAGTATTTTCTTTTTTTTTTTTAATTAAAGATTTTATTTATTTATTTATTTATCTGACAGATCACAAGTAGGCAGAGAGGCAGGCAGAAAGAGAGGAAGGGAAGCAGGCTCCCTGCCGAGCAGAGAGCCCTATGCAGGGCTTGATCCTAGGACCCTGGGATCACGACCCAAGCCGAAGGCGGAGGCTTTAACCCACTGAGCCACCCAGGCGCCCCTGGTTCAAAATATTTTCTAATTTCTCTTTTGATTTCTTCTTTGACCCATGGGACATCTAGAAGTGGATTGTTTCATTTTCAAATATTTGAGGATTTTCCAGAGATCTTTTGGTTTTTGGTGTGTAATTTGACTCCATTTTTTTAGAGAATATACTTGGTATGACTTGACCGTTTTGAATTCATTGAGACTTTTTTTGTGGCCTAGAATATGGTCTACCCTGATAAATACTCCACGTGCACTTGAAAAGAATATATATTTTGTTGTTATTGGGTGGAGTGTTCTAAAAATGTCAATGGGGTCAATTTGGTTGATAGTATTGTTCACTTCTTCTGTATCCTCACTAATTTTATGGTTCCTCGTTCTATTGATTACTGAAAGAAGGGTATTGAAATCTGACTAGAACTGCAGATTTGTCTAGTTTTTCTTGCAGTTTGTCAATTTTTGATTCATGTATTCTGAAGCTCTTGTATTATTATTATATGCACACATATGTAGAATTGTTATGTTCTCTTGTTTTCCATTTGTCCCATCTCTTCTTGGTTCTCTTTTTCCTCTTTTTTTCTACCTTCTTTTGGATTAATCAATATTATTTTAATTTCACTTTTATCTCCTTATTGGCTTATTAGCTTCACATCTCTGTTTTGTTACATCTTATAGGTTTATTATGTACAACCATAACCTACCAGTCTACCTTCAAGTGTTATTATACCACTTCATGTAGAGTTATATGTTGTTATGTACTTACATTAATGTACATCCATTTCTCTCTTCTTGGACTTTACACTATTGTTATGCATTTTACTTTTACCCCACAATGCACTGTTACTATTTTTTGTTTAAACAGTTAAATTTATATATATATATATAGAGAGAGAGAGAGAGAGAGAGAGCGCGAGCGCACAAGAATGCAGAGCAGCAGGCAGAGGGAGAGGGAGAAGCAGGCTCTCCACTGAGCAGGGAGCCCAATGCGGAGCTTGATCCCATGACCCTGGGATCATGACCTGAGTCAAAGGCAGCTACTTAACCATCTGAGCCACCCAGGCGCCCCTAAACAGTTAAATTTTTTAAAGATTTATTTATTTTAGAAAAAGAGAGAGTGTGTGTGTGCATGAGTGGGGGGAGGAGCAGAGGGGGAAAATCTTTTATCAGACTCACCTGAGCATGGAGCCTGGTGCAAGGCTCGATCCCATGACCCAGGAGATCATGACCTGAGCCAAAACCAAGAGTCAGATGCTCAACCAACTGAGCCACCCAAAGGCCCTATAAACAGTTAATTTTTAAAGGTTTTATGAATTTATTTGACAGAGAGAGCACAAGCAGGACATTGGCAGGCAGAGGGAGAAGCAAGCTCCCCACAGAGCAGGGAGCCCCATGCAGGACTCAATTCCAAGCCCCGGGATCATGACCCAAGCCAAAGGCAGACACTTAACCAACTGAGCCATCCAGGTGCCCCAACGGTTCATTTTTTTTTTTAAGATTTTTTATTTATTTATTTGACAGAGAGAGATCACAAGCAGGCAGAGAGGCAGACAGAGAGAGAGGAGGAAGCAGGCTCCCTGCTGAGCAGAGAGCCCGATGCGGGGCTCGATCCCAGGACCCTGAGATCATGACCTGAGCCGAAGGCAGCGGCTTAACCCACTGAGCCACCCAGGCGCTCCCCAACGGTTCATTTTTAACAGACTTTTATTTAGAATTTTTTTTATAATCATTTTTTAAATTTATTTTCAGCATAACAGTATTCATTGTTTTTGTACCACACCCAGTGCTCCATGCAATCTGTGCCCTCTCTAATACCCACCACCTGGTTCCCCCAACCTCCTACCTCCCCACCTCTTCAAACCCTTCAGATTGTTTTTCAGAGTCCATAGAATTTTTTTTATGTAAGCTCTGCCCCCAGTGTGGGACTTGAACTCACGACCCCAAGATCAAGAATCACATGCTCTACCAACTGAGCCAGCGAGGCACCCCAATAGACTTTATTTTTTTAGAGCAGTTTTAGGTACAGCAAATTAAACAGGAATTACAGAGAATTTCCATTTATCTCCTGACCCCACAGAGGCAGAGCCTAGGCTATCTCAAAATCCCACACCGGCCAGAGTAGCACATTTGTTGTAACTGATGAACCTATGTTGACACACTGTTACTATCCAAAGTCCACTGTCTATCTTAGAGTTCACTCTTGGTGTTGTATATCCAATGAGTTTTGAGAAATATACAATGGCATATATCCACTATTATAACAGCATACAGAATAGTTACACTGTCCTAAAAACCCTGTGGTCTGCCTATTCATTCCCCTCTCCCTACAATCGCTGGCAAGCATGGATCTTTTTATTGTCTCCATAGTTTTGCCTTTTCCAGAATGCCATATAGTTGGAATCATACAATATGTAGACTTCTCAGATTGGCTGTTTCCCTTTAGTAATGTGCATTTGAAGTTCTTCCATGTCTTTTTATGGCTTGATGCCTCATTTCTTTTTAGTGAATAATATTGTATTGTCTGGATGTACCACAATTTATTTATATATTCACCTTCTGAAGGACATCTTGGTTGCTTCCAAGATTTGGCAATAACGAATAAAGCACCATAAACATCTAAGTGCAGGATTTTGTGTGGTTGTGAATTTTCAGTTCATTTAGGGAAAAATGAATGTGATTGCTGGCCCAAATGGGTAATTATCTTTTTAAAACAGCTTTATTGGGGTAAAAATTTATACATCATAAGTTCACCCATTTTAAATGTGCAACTAAATGATTTTTTAGTATATTGACAATGTTGGGGCACCTGGGTGGCTCAGTTGGTTAAGCATCTGCCTTTTGGCTCAGGTCATGATCCCAGAGTTCTGGGATCGAGTCCCACATAGAGAAATCCCTGCTCAT